TTAAGTAGAAAAAGAGGGGAGTCTAACACCATTCATTTAGGAGAAGTTGGCACGAAGCCCTTCCAGAGATCAATTCTTCAAGATTTCAGTTTTTATTTCATCTTACTTCACTTTTATTTTGAGTTTGGTGCCCTTTTTTTTTTTTTTTTTTTTTGTAATTATTTAGTTTAGATAAACGGAAGGGTTTATCTAAAAAGTAGAATGATGACAAAACAAGCAGAAAGCCTTGTTTTTTGTAATGTTGATTTCAAAACTAATATTGATTTTAATCATTTTGATTATGAAGTAGATTTCTTTTGTTAAAGGGTAGATTTTACCGAACACCATGTTGACTTAATTTTCTTTCTATTCAAAAGTATTCAAGAATTTTATTGTTCTACAAGAATTTGTATTATTTACTTAATGCTTTTGGGTCTGGTGTTTCTTTAATTATTTGGGGTTTTAATTAAATGATGAACTAGGCAGTGAAGTTTGATTAGAAATCTCTTAATTAGGGTTTCATTGTGTTCAATTGATTTATTGATGTGATAATGAATCGGGTGGTGAAATTGCTTAAGATTTGTAGAATAGCATAGTTCATAAATTTAATAAGATAGTAAGTCGAGTCTTATAAGATTTATGTGGCCAGTTTAGGTTTTAAGTTAGAGCAGAACTTAACCGTTAAGGAATTTCTCAATTGCGTACAATTGATGGATTTCACCATCTTTAGATCGGTAAATTTCTGAATCTTAATTTTTATATTACATGTTTCACAGCGACCGTGTAGCTGCAATCAAATGCATGATCCTTCTAGGTCTTGCGTTAGGTAGTCTATGCTCTCATCAGAAACATCGTCCAATGTACGAATCGTAACAAAATCCATGAGCATTCACCTTTAGTAGAGTGATGAACGAATGGACTACTCCTGCAATAGAAAAAAAATCAACCAAATTACAAAAAATATCACATATCTCTTAGCGATATTTAAAAACAGTACATATTCAAAAACAAATCCTTTAATCTTGCCCAACCACTTCAATTTTATTGTAGTCCCAATGGGCGCTCTTCTCAGTGTGCCATCGCAACATCCTAGGAAGTGGGATCGGTGTCTGAGCTGATCTTCTTTCGCCTCTTGCCTTACCAGGATAGGGATAGCCTCGTACAACCAAGCCTACATTCTAAAAAAAACAATCCATATCAGATTTAAAACACATATAATACACAAAAAACTAATAAACCTATTGATATTTATATGCATTGCCCATGGAAAGCTGAACAAATTGTAGTGCTCACTTTACCTCCTCCACATATTGGCGATGTTTTATCGCCATATCTTTTCCTCAGAGGGAATCAATGATAATTGGAAAATAACCTCCCTATGGATAAGAATTAAAGAATTCATCATTACTTGCAAATCACTCCCATTCAAGTTAACGACTTCGTTGAGTCCACAGCTATAAGGATGGAATGCATGAACCATATCAACAAATTCTTAACTTCTCTGAAGAGGTATAATTATTGCCTTCTGCATCTAACCTCTTCTCTAAATCTGTCCGAAACATACTTGTTACCCCCCAAAAACCTTTCTAACAAATTTTGTGTTGCCTTGCTCTTCTTTAACCTCTCTTCCACTTTTGCTCTTGAAATGGCCCACAATTGAAGCCTATCATCAACAAATTCCATCATCCTGAAATGCACCGACTTCCCATCCACCACAAACCACATTTCATTTCTCTTTTTGCATCTAATAGAGTGCGCAAAAGATAATGTGCAACTTGCTCCTAGAAGCCCCTATTCCAATTTTCGCCTAACTCCACAAAGTGACCGAAACAACTCCTTCTAAACCAGTCCATACCTTTCCTCTACCCACCTAGAACTCCTTAATTTTGGAAAAGACTTGCCAACTTGACCTTATCGTAACCCTTGCAGGGAAGTACAGTAAAACATCCATAACAACCTCAAGCCATATTCCTTAATATTTATGCTCCTAGAACATTGTAAATAGATAGAATTGAATATTAGCATAGGAGCACCACGCCTAAAAGAAACGAAAACAAACACAGGCTGCCAATCTGGGGGATATAGGTTTGTTGTTGGTTTGATCAAAGAAGTTTGGGTGATTGTTGCATTTTGTCAAGCACTTAGAGGGCATCGGGGGATGGGGTTTTTTGGCTTCGAGAGACCAGGGAACCAAGGCAGTCCCTAGGATGTTGTCATGGCAAGTTGGTTGGTTGGAGTTGGTAGAAGAGTGTGAATGCAACCGAAAGAGGGGGGCGCTTGGGGCTTGCTTGTGTGTGACACAACACTCGCAGCTACGCATGGCTAGCCTTGCAGAATGCAACAGCAAACCACCCTCTCCCCCCAAAAGCCCCCCGCACCCCCCCCCCCCCCTCCCCTTCTTCTTAAAAATGCATTTTCGCACTCTTCTGCCAAGTCCAGCCAAACAACCTCACTAGGCCTGGCTTCCCTAGTCAAAACACCCACTCCCCTGATGCCCTTTAAGTGCTCAACAAAATGTACCATCACCCAAACTTCTCCAATCATACCAACACCAAGTAAATATCCCCAAATAGCGCCTACAACCAATATCTTCATAAAATATCAATGAATATTACATGTTCTTCCTCTTCTTCCACCTCTCGGCCAACTTTTTGCCGGCGTCATTGTCTTCAGCTACATTGTGGGTGCCTTGCTCTCTTCCTTTGCCGATGAATTGTCCTCTCCTGGTGAAGCAACTTCAGTCATCGGAAGTTCCTCCACTAAAACCTCTTCTTCTCCATTTTTGGAAGAACCATTGGCGCCTACAATTTCAAGAGTGGCTAGGTTTTTTTTGGTTTTTTTTTTTAATCTCACCATTGTCACTAACAGGGGAATGGCAAAAATGCAAGAGCAAAAAAAATTCATGGCGAAACGGAAGAAAAACCAGAGAGAAAGGGTGGTGTTTAATCGTGTTTTGCGCAAGTTTCACAGGAATTTGTTTTGCATTTTCAAATTTTAAATCCAACTTCTGTTATTTTACTATAACCCTAAACGTTTAAATATTACACCCTAGCCCTTTTTGCTGCTTTAATTATACTTAGGTTGCCTCAGTAGTCAGTATTTCGAACTGAAAAAAAAAAAAAAAAAAAAAAAAAAAAACAAACGATTTTCAAGGCCATATTCTCAAGTCCAAACTTCATAAGGCACGTGCTTAAATTTCCTCCAATAATTGATCCATTCTTTTCCAAGAAAATAAGCAAGATTTGAATAAAACCAATTCAGTAAGAAAAGGAGCCGAACTACCTTTTTTCCAATCACAAGGCCATCAAGTTCAAATGAGACTAGAGTTGGAAACGCTTGAGATTTCCAGTCATTGCAGTTCTTCTCCAAGAATTTTACTGAAATTGCGGTAATCAGGTCAGGAACAAAATTCTAAGTCGAATCTGCAGGGTTGCTACGTTTGTAGCAAAGTTCATGACATTTCTAAATATTCAGCCTCAACACGTGCATCATCTTCAGTTTTGTTGACAGGAAAAGTAATCTTTAGCGATTCCATGGCGATGTGAGCCTTAGAAGCTCTGATACCATGTAAAATTTCAGACTAGAAACACTAAATTTCAGAGAAAACGAGCTAGAGAAATTGTATCTTCAACTTCATTAATGAAAAAAAATGATAGAATACTTTTTTTTATAGTACAAAGCATCTAAGCTGGTAATCCCTCTGACAACCATTTCCTTATTACAAGAAACACAATTAGAGCAATTTTGAGTCGTGGGATCTGTCCATTCTAGCTCCAGTACTTTGAGGAAAAAAAAAAAACCTTGCTCTTTGATCGTCACAAGCTTCGTTAAACTCGATGCATTTAATTGAAACGCCGTCGTCTAATGAACTACCTACCATCGCGATTATCCAACCCAATATCTTAATTTTACTTTTTTATTCATTCATTATCATGATTACCCAACCCAATATTCTTTATAAATAACTACCATCGCGAGAAGTGGTATAAAAACTAAGATTCGTGTTTTTATTTGGTTAGATGGTCTTACCATGTTATAATTAAGATAGTGATTCTATTTTATTAGATGATCTCAACATGTTAATAAATTAAGATAGTGAATGGTTTTTTTTTTTTTAAAATTTAAATACGCATGAATAATTATTAGGTTTTTCACCCCTCTATTTTATTTAAATAAGAATATTAAATCAGCATCACATATGGCAAAAAGATGTGGAAGCTTGTATTAAGGGCATTAAATTACTTGGACAAAGTCAATCCAATGACAGGAAGGAATCTTCTAACGAAATTAAATAGAAACTATGGGTAGAAACTATGGGTGCCTTTGATTGGTTATTCCTATTCATATTCTCAATCTTATTCCCAAAATACTTATTTGTTTTATTATTTAAGAAATACTATCTTATTTTTTAATTACTTTTAAACCCCTTATATTTATTAATTTAATAAACACCCCTAAAAAAAAGTTTAAAAATTAACAAAAACACCCCCACCCACCCATAGTTGCCGAAATCTGTCATAACGGCGTAGAAACGATCGAAAATGGTCTGTAATTCACCAATCTAGCCTTTTCTGATCAGATCCACAGTGGATCTAGCCAGAAAAGGCCAGATCTGGCCATCGTTGACGACTAAATCTAGCCTTTTACGGTTATCGACAGCCAGATCTGACCTTAGATCTGACCTTTTTCGACCAGATTCCAGTAGATTTGGCTGGAAAATGCCATATCGACACACAACCAGCCAGATCTGACCGATCTGCATCGTAACGCCGTTTTTCGGCTAGATTCCGACAGTGATGACCGGAATCTGGCACTATGGGTGGGTAGGGGTGTTTTTATTATTTTACAAATTTTTTATATATTGGGGTGTTTAGTTAAATTAACAAACCTATGAAATTTTTTTATTAATTTTTAAATTTTACCTCGTAATATTTACCATATTCAATTATCCAATATTATTCTCAAAATCATATCCAAAAATAACAAAACAAACGGCCCTGATATTAGACAAAAGAATCATGTAGTAAAAAGATTACCGTATGGCATTAATTTTCACTTTAACGCGGCAGATATAGAATAACATACAAAAATATTAATAAAATTTACAAATGGATTAACGTAGAATAGTCAAAGACTGAGAAGGCGCATGGCTTGACCCTACAGCTGCAGCCGTACATAGCATGTGATCATAATTGGAAGCAGGCATATTTGGTGGAAGATTCGGCAAAGCTAACTCAAAATTAAGAAATTGAATAACTTGCCTTATGGATGGTCTCTGATTACGGTCTGGGTGAGCACACAAGAGCCCCACAATTAACAAACACTCCATCTGTTTCACGTCAAAATTCATGCATAACTTCTTATCAGCAATATCCGGAAGTCTTTCATTTCTATATGACTCCCAAACCCAAGGTACCAATGAAACTTGATCCTCCTCATATTTGTGCTCTATTGATCTTCTTCCACATGCAATTTCCAGTGCAACTACACCGAAGCTGAAAACATCTGATGCCTTGCTGGTCTTCTTTGTTTTGAGACATTCAGGTGCCATGTAGCCCCGAGTTCCAGCCAAACCGGTAGCATGTGACCCTTTTGCATGGTCAACAAATGTAGCTAACCCAAAATCCCCAAGCTTTGAATTGAAATTTGAATCTAACATAATGTTGCTTGATTTGATGTCTCTATGCAGCACACATTGTTCCCATTCTTCTTGCAAATATAGTAATCCTGAAGCCAAATCTTGAGCAATTTTGTACCTCATTTCCCATGTCAATAAGCTTTTTCCTTTGAAAAGATGGCAATCCAAGCTGCTATTACGCATAAATTCATAAACAAGTAGAAGATTCTTTTTCTCATGGCACCAACCCAGAAGTTGCACCAGATTCCTGTGCCTCAATCGACTAATGATTTTCACTTCTGATGCATACTCCTTTATCCCTTGTTTAGACTCTTTGGAGACCTTCTTAACTGCAATATAAGAGTTGGTGTCCTTCATAAATCCTCTATAAACCCCACCAAAACCTCCCTGTCCTAACTTGTTTTCGTCATTAAAATTATCTGTAGCGCTTGCTAATTCCTCATACGAAAACTTCTTGGGTCCAGTTCCTCTTTCAAATTCATTATCCATAGTTTCTTCTTCATCTTTCCCATCTCTCTTCCTACCAAAGCAAGCCAGCCGAACCAAAACCAACCCGGCAACCAACACACCACCAACAATACCCAATCCCACAGCCAGCCCGGTTTTGCTTTTCCTACCGTCAACAAGATTTGGGCTTACTGGCGGATTAGTTGAATTACCATCTTCCAAGCTTGAACTGAACTCCCACGAGTTAACTGTATGTGTTGCAGTTGCATTTCCAGTTGCCCCTGAGAAACCAAAAGTTACAAACTCAGGTAAATAAAGCCTCAAATCGACTTTATAATCAAGGTGCTGCTTCACAATGGTACCATTTCTAAAACCAGTGAACTCAACACTCAAATTCTTTGTGCTAGAATTGTAATTGATCCATGCCTCATTTCTTCTTCCACCCATGACATCACTCCACCATGCCACAGTTTTCACAGACTTCAAAGAGTTGATGTCGATACCCACATGTTCACGGATGCTAGGTGGATCATAGTGGTTATGATAAATATCAAATTCCACAGCAAAAAATGGATTGGAGGTTGAATTTAATCGCTCATCATCGTTTGCAAGACCAAAAGACCCTCCTCTCGTGGCGTTCACAGGAATCATTGAAACTTGAGGCGCCAGAAAGAAGGTCAACCCATCTCCATAAGCACTTCTGTTTTCAGAATCAATAATGAAAGAGAAATGAGTCGTGAAGTCTGTGAGATTTTCCGTGGCATTGTCCCAAAGGCGCAGAGGTTTATAGTATGTGGCCCGACCAAACATGCCGTTTCCTGAGGCTAGTAAAATAACTTGGTTTTGTGGGTAAGCTCTCTGGTATGTCATGTTTTCCCGATTAGAACTGAAACTAGAAAAGTTGAACGATAAAGCACTCGCAGCCGGAATTTTTAAAAATAACAAGGTGATGATCACAAAGAATTGAATAACAAGAATCCTCTTCGTATTGGAGATGGCCATTTTTGAGTGGTAGGATAAGATGGCTTCTGAAATTTCACTCTCAGAGATCTAAATATTTAGAAGTACAAGTTTTCACGTGCTTAAACCCCACCCAACTCAGACTAGAGTGGGAGGGATTTATTTTAAATTCGCAAGTAGGAAAAAAATAATAAAAACAAGTTGAGCAGCCTTTGTTGAACGTAGTCCATTAACTCTAATATTTTTTATGAAAAAGCCAAAAGGATAAGAATTGTCAAAAAGTTAGGATTGCTAAGACAACTTGTGTACATTATATAAGTTATTTAAGATTATTTAACGAATTTTAGGAATCAATTATCCCAATTTTGAACAGAGATGTATTATAATATAAAAAATCAAGTACAATTGTGCAAATACTATAGGAAAAATGATACCGAATGATTTGTGATGTGGAAGGCGGATGGGATGAGCCTGATATATGAAATTGATTAGGGTTTGATTTGTGTAATTGACTGACGGGCTTGATAGGTGAGATTTTATTAACCAATTAGTGGCAGCAGCAAGCCTAATTAAATTATGAGATTTGATGAGTTACAATTAGCCAAAAGGAAAGGAAATTAGAAGGAAGAAACCTAAAAGCAACTACTTTGTATTGGTGGTGTTGGCATTCGGCGTTTAGAAGGCAAAGGTCATTTCTCATTTGATTATGATAGTAAAATATGGTTGGGCTGACTCGCGAATGGGCTTTCTAATTGGTTATTTCAAAATCTTATCAAAGCATCTACAGAATTAATCTTGTAGAATAGATTTTTCATACCAAACACAAAAACAAAAACAAAAATAAAAACACACACACATATATATAATTCTCTAATTAGGACAATGTTTGAATAGTGTTGGATTCACTCATTAGAATGAAATAATATTTTATATATAAAGATGTATAAGTGAATATGTATAATCCTCGTATAATTATATTACAACATCATAACATCATAACTATATATATATATATATATAACACTCATAAAAAATAGTCTACTTTAGTTTTGAAGAATCTTTAAATTAGTTAGGCACTTTGTCTTCATTATACTTTTTTTTTGACGTGAACTTGTTAATTATCTTGTAATTGGGGATTATATATAGAGAGCTATGTGTTATAAACATACATATTAAAGGATTTTTTTTTTTTTTTTTTCAAGAAAACATATAAAGGGAGAGAGATACGAATAAAACGTAAATTTATGGGCATGATACCATACCTGGATAGAGTAATTTTTTTTTTTTAATCAATAATATATAAATTTTCCACGAACATTTGTTTTTTAGGATACATAATAACCAATGATGCTTTTGAGACACAGATTGCATCATATACTTAACTATATAGAATAGAAACAACTATTAGGGTGTGTTTGGTATAGAAAATATTGTATTATTGGGAATGTTATATTAATAGAAAGATAGATTTTCATGAAGATTATTAGGAATATTTAGGAAAATGTGTTTGATTAGGTTGGAATAAATTAATTAGTGGATATGTTATATAGATTACTAAATTGCCCTCCTTTTTAAATATTAATTTTTCAATTATCTCTTTTAACCCCCTACAATTGAAATTTTGCCAAAACACCCCAACCATATAAAAATTTAATTTGTAAAAAAATCACTCCCACCCACCCCAAGCCACTACTGACCATTGGCCACCACCGCCGTCCGCCATCGGTAGTCAGCAAAAAGGCACACAACCGGTTGAGTCTGGCCAACTGTGCGCCGATCTGGACGTGGATCTAGCCAAAAACGGTCAGATCTATTATGGCTGTTTTTAGCCAAATCAATGGTCGTTAATGGCTAGATCTATTTTGGTGTTGTGCGTAAGAATTCTAGGTGTTAACAGCCAAACTATTCTAGCCAGAATAGATCTGGCTATTAACGATCATGGATCTGGCCATTTTCAGCCAGATATAGCCATTTGGCCATTTTCGACCATCGATATGGCCGAAAATGGCTAGATCGGTGCACGGTCGACTAGATATGTTGGTCGTGCACCGTTTCGATGACTATCAGAGGTGGTTGGCTAACAGCCAATGGTGGTCGTTGGCGAGTTGTAGCGGTCCTAGGTGACCTGCAATTTGTTTTAAATATAAGTACATTATTGTCCAAAAACTTAATTAATTAGGGATAAAATTGTAATGATAGGTTCATATAAATTAATTTCAAAATAAGGGTATTTTTGTCCAAAAATTTTAATAGTTAAGGGTAAAATTGTAATAAAATTAAAATTACCAAGTAATCTTAAAATACCTAAGAAAATAAAGGTAATCAGATTACCACTTATATAACCAACAGTAATTACTATTGGTTTTAGAAGATCATTAGAATCTTATATATATTACTTAACAACTAAACATGATAATCTAAGTAATATAAGATGATATTACCTTAGTAACGGGAGGTTTACTCTCAACCAAACACACTCTTAAATGGTTATTTGTAACTTTTCATTCATATTCTATCATTATATATAATTATATTTCCATTTCTTATAAGTTGAGATCTCAATTTTATACAATATTATAAGATTATGTGATGAGTGTGTTAAACAAGAGAACATCAATCATTGTCTTATATAGATTTATTACCCTCCTCACTTTTTTAATATCTTTGTAGATCTTCAATCCATTGATCTTTATTGATCATTATAAGAAAAAATATTTAATATATAATATGGAGCAAACGACTTTTTCCCACCCAAATAATAGCCTAATAACATATTGTCATTCACTGACTTTTAAAATACTATTATACTATCCAAAGTACAATTCTATTAGTAAATTTCGTTGTGAAGAATGACAAGATGGTCAAAAGTCTGTTATAAATAAGGGTAGGATAGTGAATTAACAAACCCCCATTACCCCCACCCGTTTGCACCAGCAATCATCGGCCCTCACCCGTTTGCACCAGCAAAGAATCCTCTTCGTATTGGAGATGGCCATTTTTGAGAGGTAGGATAAGATGGCTTCTGAAATTTCACTCTCAGAGATCTAAATATTTAGAAGGTACAAGTTTTCACGTGCTTAAACCCCACCCAACTCGGACTAGAGTGGGAGGGATTTGTTTTAAATTCGCAAGTAGGAAAAAAATAATAAAAACAAGTTGAGCAGCCTTTGTTTAACGAAGTCAATTAACTATAATGTTTTTTATGAAAAAGCCAAAATGATAAGAATTGTCAAAAAGTTAGGATTGCCAAGACAACTTGTATCACATTATATAAGTTTTTAAAGATTATTTAACGAATTTTAGAACAGAGATGTATGATAATATAAAAAATCAAGTACGATTGTGCAAATACTACAGGAAAAAAGATATCGAATGATTTGTGATGTGGCAGCAGCAAGCCTAATTAAATTATAAGATTGGATGAGTTACAATTAGCCAAAAGGAAAGGAAATTAGAAGGAAGAAACCTAAAAGCAACTACTTTGTATTGGTGGTGTTGGCATTCTGCGTCTAGAAGGCAAAAGTCATTTCTCATTTGATTATAGTGTAATGCTAGCGTAACTCACTTCTCTTATTCACTTTTGTAAATATAAAGCATAGTACAGGTACCATGCGCATAGTACGGATACCATATGTCATTTTAACAAAGGTAAGTAAGAGAAGTGAGTAAGGTTAGCATTTTTCTTGATTATAATAGTAAAATATGGTTGGGCTGACTCGCCAATGAGCTTTTTAATTGGCTATTTCAAAATCTTATCAAAACATCTTCAGAATTAATCTTGTGGAATAGATTTTTCATACCTAACACAAATGAATAATACTATGTGTACTAACCATTTTGTACAAAAGAATAATACTATATATATATATATAATTCTCTAATCAGGACAATGTTTGAATAGTATTGGATCCACTCATAGATTACCACTTATATAATCAACAATAATTACTCTTGGTTTTAGAAAATTATTAGAATCTTATATTACTTAACAACCAAACATAGTAATATAAGTAATATAAAATGACATTACCTCAATAACGGAAGGTTTACTCTCAACGAAACACACCCTTAAAGGGTTATTTGTAACTTTTCATTCATATTCTGATCATTGTATATAATTATATTTTCATTTCTTATAAGTTGAGACTGGATCATTTTAAAGATAAAGGTTGAATGTCAAAATTTACATTTGTGTCAACTTATTATGTTGACACAAATGTTAAAATTAGCTAGAAAAAATATGTTGCTTCAATTGATGTCTCAACACAGTGCACTGCAGACCAGAAGAAATTCACAAATCTTCGATCTATAGCATGATGTTAAGAAGGCCTTCAGCAGCTATTTTACTTTGTACGTCACAACGTCGTCGTTTTCTAGTCTAAGGCAACGTGATGCCGTTATAGTCCATGTTTGTTTGTTATAATACAGTTACTGTACACAGAGCTAATTAATCATTGAATCTACTGAAATCCAAATACTCATCTTCTCTCTAATTTTTCTCCCAAATTCTTTGTTCAAACCCTAAGTTTCACACATGAAATACATTATTTAACTAGAAAAAAAAGTCATAGTCTCGTATTAACAGGATAATTTTTAGATTGTATGAACTCGTGATCCTGCGATTATTTAAAAAGAAGAATTCCATTAGTAAACAGAACAGGTACAGAATTATTGCAAGAAAATGAAAATGACAAATCCAAATACAAGAAAGCCATGGAAGAATATTCTGAAAAACCCTTATTAATTAACTGAACAAACTCTGAACATGAATAAAATTTAACATAGGTGTGCACGCAGCTGAAGTTCAGTGATGATTAAACGCCGCAGTAGGCTTTTATGCAGTCGCCGTCCGTTTTATTTGGGACATTGCTTGATTGAAAGAACTGAAGTAATCCGTTATGATCAAATGGCTTGTATTTTAATGGATGTTCATCATCAACTAGCTCTGTTGATGCTCGTTTTTGGCACCAACCTATTGTCACGTGCGTATTACTGTTTGGTGAATTAACACACGTGATAATGGATATATGAAGTGAAATAAATGCAAAGAAGACTTTTAAAGTGGTTCGGATGCTAAGGTAGTAAATCCTACGTCCACTGATTTGTATTTATATTAGTGTGGGTCAGGTCGCAAAGTG